TGTTTTCAATACCATTCTTTTTTCCCAGCCATCCGTCGGTGGAATTTGCTCTAGCCACTGTCGACATCTCAGAAGCTCAGCCGGAGGGTTAGCCCTAATCTTCGCTGCAAGCGACTTCCAAGTCTCCAAGCTGAATGCGCATCGGAAAAATAGATGCTCATGTGTCTCCTCCTCCTCGTTGCACAACACACATGTTGAGCTTTGTGTAATGTTCCATCGAAATAACTTGTCTCGCGTTGGCAACCTCCTCTGCATAACCATCCAGTGAACAAAAGCATACCTTGGGATCGCATATTTAAACCATACTAGATCAGCTCATTCCACCTTTGGAGAAGCTTGCCTCAGTAATCTCCAGGTACTTGCTGTCGAAAATTCATCCTTGTATACATTCTCAGCTATCTTCCACTCGAATCTGTCTTCGCCACGAGTTGGTTCAGGAACGTCTTGAATTAGGAGCTGTACATGGAGCTCTTGAATCCTGCTGGATCTAGCGCCAGGTAGTGACCAATGTCCCCCCGCTGTAGCTGCACTAACCGTACTGTTTATCGGAATCCTGAGGAGTCTAGGTCCGTCCCTCCCAATGTAATCAAGAAGAGGACCTAGAACAGTCCAATTATCATGCCAGAAGGAGCCAACCATGTTATTTGAATTATATGTTCCCTCTCTAGTCTGGGATTCGAATTCGGGACGGGACAGACGCTTTGCGCCCCGTTTCACCGGTTAAATTTCCTAGGTTGGATGTTTTATGATAATTTTGCCAAACCCTAGTTGGAACATAGAGAGTGGTGTACCTTTATATATATGCTATCATTCTCCTACATGTAAAAGTACCCATTTTGATTTTGGTTACAAATCGAGAAATCCGATTATTTCTATACAATTTAGTTACGTCCACATAGAGATGCTTCTCATGCATGAAAAACAATACATAGTGTTGATAATTCAACTCCAATCTCTTAAAGAATTTTGAGATTTCTACTTTCTCGTCAATTTGAATTTGATTGAAAGACTCTGAAACTGTGTTGATGAAAAATCTGGTATTAGAGATTGAAGTAAAATATAATTGAAGATTTATTAGTATTCAATATTTTGGATTACAGAATATATAGAAAGCGTAATATCATGTTGCCTATATTAATATGTTAGCATCAAACCCAGCATTACACAAACAAACATGAGAAAATAATATTGAAAATTATAATATAATCGAAATCGATCCAACATGAAAGATAACAAAAAAGCTGCAAAAATAATAATAATAGAAGTTGTACTAATTCTTAGAGAAATCCCAACATGAAGTAACGAGTGCAAAAAACACACACACAAAGTAGTTCCATAAAATTTCAATATATTCATTAGTGAAAGGAAATCATAATAATTATAAAAGAGAGAAAGAGTTATATTTTATTGAGAAATGAAATTATTGTTATTGTTATAAGGACAAATTGTGTGACGTGACAACATCTTTTGTATTCAAACTCAAAGCCCTTGAAAGCTACCATATAAAATCCTCCCTCTTTTGTATTTATTGATCATTCATAATCATGTGCATGATTCTCAAAACCCACAAAGATTTCTTTTTGGATTTTATCAATTCAATGTGAAATACGATATGTAAAAGGTACAAGATTGTTTGGGTCATGTCCTAATTCTCCTAAAATTTAGCGTAATTCTTAATTTCATCTTAAAAATTCGATTCTCTATATCCGAACCAAATCCCTTACATATGATTATTTTGGTTTTTGATGAATTATTGTCGTATTATTGAAATTTGCTAATGGTATCACAATTATTCATTGCAACGTACGTAAAGACTAAGGGTGGGCAAAATTACCCGAAAATCGGGTATCCGTCCCGACCCGAGGGTCGGATACCCAAAAATCGGGTATCCGTTATGTTATGAGATAGAGATCGGGTTTTAAAATATGTAAAACCCGAAATTCGGGTTCGGGTTCGAGTTTACACTTTCGGATCGGGTAATTACCCGCGGGTATCCGAATAATAAAAAATAAATATTATTTATTTAAAATTTTTAATATTAATAAAAATATTTATCAATTATCTTGAATTTTATATTTTTATATATATATAAACTATTATTTTATTAATCTAATCATTTTAAATATAAATATTTTAAATTATTTTCATTAATTTTATGAATTATTTGTATAAAATTTATAAATTTATAATTTTTTTAAAAAAAAAATTAAAATTTTTCGGGTTCGGGTATCCGCGGATACCCGAAAATTATCTCACGAGTAATACATTTTAGGTACCCGGAAATTCAGGTTCGAGTTCGGATTTCAAAATATGTTATTTTTCGGGTTCGGATTCGGGTACCCTAAAAATCCCGGATACCCGATCCGTGCCCACCCCTAATAAAGACAATATCGAACATATGTTTGATTATGGTTTTAGATATACGATTTTAGAGTGCACTCATAATTTCATCTAAATTTTTGGTCAAAATGTATATTAGAGTTCAGGTGCTTATAAACAATATTGAAATTTTCTCCTTTTTTTTTTTATCATTGCATCATTTTATGGGTCTTAAAGTTTGCTCCTTCTCCGCAAACTATATATTTGCCGGAAAAAGTATACATTAGACTTGTTAGATGATTTTGATATGTTTGGTTGCAAGACTAGGAGAAGTACATGGAAACCAAAGAAAAAGGTATCGGATATTTTGGAGTAAATGATTGTGATTGGTTTTAGTATCTCATGGGATTTATGTATGTATACGTATATTACCAATACGGTGGATGAGTAAATGTTTGTAAAAGACGTATTGTGAATTCTTTAAGTATTAAGAATTTATTGAAAAAGATTACATTCGGTTTAGAAGTTAAAAAGTGATCTAAGAACAATTAGGTTGTAACTCGAATAAAGAAACGGATAGTCCGTTTTTTCTGAGAAATAATGCTTGAATTTCATAATCGGACTATAGTTCGAATAAACGAACGTGCAACCTACTTTTTTGAATTATAATACTCGGATTTCACAATCGGACTATAACTCGAATAACGAGCAGGTAATCCACTTTTTCTACATGATCGTTTGAGCGAAAATTTGGGACCGATCGGTGAAAACTTACGAATTTTCATGTCTTTTCGATATTTTAGTATTTATAAATACACTTAGGTCATATAACACGAAGAAGAACATAAAAACACAAATTTGTGACAAGATATAAGTAATTTTGTGAGAGATTTGAATGTGTTATTATGCATAGTTTTCGGAAGGTTTCTTTATTTTTGAATAAATAAAGTTATGTTTGATGATTATCGTAAGAGTAAACCGAAATTATTGTCGCTTCATTTTAACTCAAAAATGTATTAATGTAAATTTAGGTTGTTTAGTTTAGTTTTTTTAAGTTAGGAGTTACGTTAAAAAAGCAATAATATATACAAATTATAATATATATATATATATATATATATAACGAGAGGTAATAAAAATGCCTTAGAAGTCGATAATAATCGATTAGTAAACCTATTTTTTTTTAAAAAAAAAAGTGGGATGCTAATCCATCAAATGAGAAGAAGAAGAGATTCCTTTACAAAAGGGCACAGTGCAAGATCCAAAAGAAGAAGGATTTTGCAAACTAAAGAAAAATGTGAAAGCGAATAGAGAACAATGATTCGCAGTGTAATTTCTGCATTTGGGGAATTGAAAAGACGTGTGTGGATTGCATTTGCATCTCCCTCCTTTTAAACCCCCTTAATCCCAAAGGGAAACGTAATAATCACGAGAGCGACTAAAGCATATGGTTCCATAATTAAGCTGAATTATTGCTAATGCCTTTGCTTAATATAATTACCACATTTGTCTATGTGGCGGTCGCATCACAATTACTCGGTTTTTAATAGTATATGATCAATCGCCACCATAGCATTTACCAAAACATTCTCGTCAATTGATAGTCAAACCTCAACTTTAGGTTCTCACATGTAAGATTAGATATCCAAAAATCTGATTTATTGCCCAAATTCTAACAAAAAGAGCTAAAAGTAATATAGAGTGAAAAATCGTCGAATTCTTCATTATTCAAAACATTACAATATTTATAGTTTTTTTCTTCTTACAGCATTGATGTGACTAAGGTCGAATTTAAGATGGTTGGGAATGAAGAAAATTTTCATTAGGTAATTTCTAAACTTGAAACGTTTCTACAGCGGTATAAACCCTAGCTATATACATATATACATATATATATGTATATATATAAGAGAGTGATTGTCTAATCATGCATTCTCATCTTAACCAAAATTAGATGCATGTGCTTGAAACCTAACGAGCATGATTAGGAAAATTTCAGAAAACAACACCCACAAGTCAATAAAGAAAATAAAAAGGAGAAGAGGGTATTCCATAAAATAAATAATAGATACAATTATTAAAAGGATAATTATTTTTTTTTTGTTGATGAGAGAAATCTAATGAGAGAGTATTTTGTCATGATACAAAAAAATGGTACACAAATAATGAAAGGAGGAAATGAACAGTAATGTGGTGTGTCTAATTTGAAAGAGAGAAGTTTCCAAAGGATCACTCACATGGGGGTTCTTATTACTATGTGACAAATTGGATCCTCACCACTCACATTGGCCATTGCCACTTCAATGGATTTGTTGCTCCTTTTTTTTTTCTTTCTTTTTGGCCTTATAAGGAAAAACATTTATTTATTTATTTTCCATTTTCAACACTGGTCATGAACTAATGTTACACAAATTTTCATTATAGGTTCGTTATTTAGATTGAATTAAGAGCCATCACAAAATTCAATCTTCCACAAGAATCTACCCTAGCGTCGACTAAGGTAAAAAAAAAACACCTATCAAACTCGGACAGCAAACGACCTTTGCACCACCGACATCGATATCATCTTCTCGTGCATCTACACCACATTTTTGTGTCATATCGGACTTTTTCAGATCTACCAATAATCCACTGTTTACCCATATTCGAGTATCAAATCCATCTATTTTTTCATGAATTCAAATTCAATCATTTGTTTCAAATCTAATATTATAATAATATTCTAAAATATTCTTCACATCTCGTAAAATCTTCTAAAATATTCTCTATGTTTCTTGATATACAAAACGAGTTTTTTATTACCCTTCCAACGGTTATACGTTCGAATAACTAAATTCAACAAATAATGTTCGAAGATAACCATGTACATTTATATATATATATACATATATCCATATTAATTTCAAATATATACCTTTTTGCATTTGGATACCAATACAAACATTTTATTTTGGATATCGGGTCTATACTAATTCTGTAAGTTGTGTTATACTATATTTTAGAATAATTTTCGAATTCGGATTCGGATACTAGTCTAAAATCTTGTGATATACAAGTCTTTTAGGTACTAGTATAAAATTTTCGGTTCATGGCCGCTCCTTGTTGTCCCCTTCGATTACCACAATTTGCTACGAAAATGCACGAGTAAACAAGCCCTACCTCGCGAAAGATGGTACACGATATCGACCATAAGTGTGCAAATGCGTGTGATTGATAGATGGATTGAAAAGCAGTACGATTAGACCCACCAAAGGGGGATCGAGTAACTACAAAAACTCCCTCAAACCATTAACGATGCGCACAATTCAAATAAACCTAAAAACGTATCAATCACGTGAGACCCACTCCGAGTATTATTATTATGCGTACTATGAGATTCATATAATCATAAAATCCAAAAACAAAAAACTTGTGAAAAGGGTCAAAGTCAAAAAAGCCCTTTTGATGTGGATTTTCTATGCGCTTGATTTGCTAGCTGTAGCCAAGAGGGTGCTGCAGAAACAATCGTTACTGTAAAAATGCAAATATTTTATGCATTTCCATATTATAATATATAATATCGCAACAGAGAGAGGGAGAGGACACAAAGCTTTTAAACCCAAAGAGTAAAAGCCAAAAAAGGGATGTGGAAGAAGTGAAGATTTAATTACCATTTACCACAGTTGTTGCTCTTTGAAAATGACTGAAAGATTCAGATGGGTTTTACTCTTACACCTTCAACTACACCAAAAAAAAAAGTTTTTTTTTGGGTCTAAAAGGCTGCACCCTTTTTATGACCAGGACAGGACTAGAGGTGGAGAGTATTAAAGGAATGAGGAAGAGGATGAGTTCCTAACCTAATTATTTAAAAAAAAAAAATGGTTCTCATATTCCTTCTTGTTTGTTGAGTGGGTCTCATCTGATTTCCACCTCAAAAGCTGGTCTTCATATTTATGAGAAGAAGATATAGCCAGTGATATACAGAGAGAGAGAGAGAGAGAGAGAGAGAGAGAGAGAGAGAGAGAGAGAGAGAGAGTGAAATAAAGGGAAAATTAAAACAAAAATTTATACCATATGGTTAAATTATAATTATGAACAAATAAAAAAAAGGAGGTCAAGCCAAGCTAACCAATCAGCTTTACCTCACTCTTTATGAGAGAGGCTCAAAGGGATAATTTTGGTCTTTGGGGTTCAAACAAACTATATATGTAAAAAAAGATACAAGACTTTATATTCTATATATATATACATATGTGTATATATGTGTACTTTGTAATGAAGAAGGCACTAACCTTCCATCATATCTATCTGCAATGGAATTTGTCTTGTAGTGCTTGAATTGGGTGAAAACAATGGAGCCTTGGGTTGCCATGTGGTGAGACTCACTCCTTCTATTCTTCTATATGACCGTTCCCCATAGGCTCCTGCTTTCTTGTTACTCATCAACACCATAGCTAAGTTTCACTTACAAGATGATGAAGAGCCAGCAAGCCATAGAAGAGACAAATAACTCAGAGTGTATTATATATATCACAGGGTAAGGTGAAGGTTTGTGGATTAAACCCCCTAACCAAAAAAAAAAAACTCAGGTATGTATGTGATGAGGGAGTGAGCCACCATTCTTTATGCCCTTGTTGTGTAAATGCTAAAGTTGAAACCTTTTGTTTTTGTTGTGTTATGTCAGGAGAGAGAGAGAGAGAGAGAGAGAGAGAGTGATGATGGAGTCTTCGGGGGTTGTAGATGAAGAATACAGTAGTGGTGAATCTGGATGGACTATGTACCTTGAAGATGCTTTCAATGGAAATGATCAGTCTGATGTTGTTGATGATGATGATGATGGTGGTGATGATGATGATGACTCCATGGCTTCTGATGCATCTTCAGGGCCAAGCAATCAACTTCCAAGGAATAACACCAAGCATGCAGCTGCAAAGAACAGTTCCAAAACCGAAAAGGGAAAGAAGAAACTATCATCATCATCATCATCACCATCATCATCATCCACAGATAAAAAGGAGAAATCACTGGTCAATGCAAGAACAAGAGCTACTGCAGCTAGTCGTGTTCGAAGTAGAGGCAAAGCCACTTAATAGAACCAGGGTTTGTGTCTAAATCCTTTTTATCCTCTTCCTGTTTTCTCATGTATTGGTTCTAAGACCAAAAGCTACGTAGGGCAAATGCATCTTCTTACGAGCATGAAGAAGAAGATACTTTGTTTATGCAGAGTTGCTCTGTTCCTGCATCTTTTTCTCCATTGGATCTTATGCTTATAATATATGTTTGTTTGTGTATCATTACTCCGATATTGCGAAAAGGGTCCTCGTCTCTCGTCTGCACGAGAAAACATTTACAATGTTAGATGCATGTATGTAGCTCTCAGTTCCTGTTTCACGATATTGGATCAGGGACAGGGAGCAATCTTTGATCAAACATCGTTCAGGGATTCCTGGAAATCCTCAAGAAGGGGGAAAACGCCTCTGATAGATCACTCTCAAGGTCTATCAAAGATCCTTACCCAATGGGAAAAGTTAATACAGAATCTGAAAATTTAACAAAGAGGGTGATGACAAAACAGGAGTTTCAAAGGTTACCAAATATTTTTGTTCCAAAGGGAGTGGCCCCCTCCCCTCAAAGTAGGAAACCACCTTCACCAACATCTTTGATTCGCCAAACACAAGAGAGAGTCATGCTAGCTCTCTTCACTTCACATGATCCTTTCAAGAAGATCAACCATTCAGAATCTGTCACTTTCATCTCTTAAGGAAAAACACCCATCCATTACCAGTCCTTTTGAAACCACTGTTTCATGTACGGGACAAGACTCGGAACATGAAACCCGTTTCAGATTTCTTGCATCCCGTGAAAACACTAGGGTAACTCGAACTGAGAAAGGCCCGGAAACTCGAAAAACTTTCAAGCAATTGATCGATCAGTACTTGATACCCGTAAGGTGAAACACCGATAAGAGTCTACATGACTGTCAAAGAAACAAGCTACCGTTTGTCTTTGAATATAAGATCATGAAACCGAAATCAGGTAATCATATCATTGTAACGAGGCAGCATGAACAGAAAAGAACAAGGAGATTGAGCTGGCAAGAGGACGGGAGTCGTTTTCAGCATTGTAACTTCCAAACTATGGATATGCATCGTAGGAGCAAATGAACAGGTGGATGAAAACGAAAGATGGGTCGTCCAATCTCATTCCATGACCCACCAAAATGTTTTTTTTTTATATATATATAAAAAAAAAGAAAGACAAGAGAATGAGCTCTGTAAATGCACAAATAATGAAAACACTGGATAGCAAATTTTACCTCCGGAGCAAAGCCGAATGGCCAACGCATTTCCATCAACAATAGCCTGCACACGCTCCCATCTCCCTTGAATGCGACATCCCGAAAGAAAAAATTTGTGAGCTGAGGAATCCTGCCAAACAAAAGAAAACAAAGCCTAATCATCAAAAGTCTTTTTCTTTTCTGCTTTGGACAACCACGCACATTACAAGACAACAAAGCTGAGACATCAGAAATACAAACAGAAAGACAATGGCTACTACTAATATTCACCATCTCTTTACACTATTAGGTTCTCATGCATCAACATCAACATCGCCTTAAACCCAAGTTTATTTGGGACCGGCCCCATAAATTATTCATTTCCGCTAACTCCGATTTTGAGTTAGTTCTTATTACATTATCATGAAAGATTTAAAAAAAAAACAACTTTCAAGAGAGGGGTACGTCATTTCAAGATCACGGTCAAATCCATGAAACAACAATCCCTTATTTCCAAACAGAACTCTTTCAAATGCTAAATAATCAAATCCAAGTAAGCATGCTCAAAGAAGACGAGGCCGACTAAGATGTTTCAACCACGTATATAATTGCTTTCCTTCTATGCCATCCATTCGATGCTTAAATTGACCCGGTATTGGAAGAACTCCAGCCCTGACTACTGGACAGGAAACTCTATGGCTCCAATTCCTAATCCTAGATTCAGGACAGTGGTGCTTAGAAACTACGGGAAACAGATCAGTGTTCTAAGCCATTTTGAATAAGAAAGAAAGTGACTTTGCAGCTAACTCAGCATGCCCAACTAACAACATCCTTGATTTCCTATCTGATAAATGATGTATCACTGAATGTTACATATTCCCAGATCAAGGAAACACAAGACAGGAAGAGAAATGGCAGAACTTTAAGTGGATATGTCTGTCCCCTTCCTTCTGCCTAACTCAAACTACTGAGCTTAAGCAGTTGGCCCTCTTAATCACCAAGAACTCAAGCACTTCAACCAGAGAGATCAGAGAGCTATTAAACCCAGCAAGAAAAATCAGTAAGAACTCGGCACTTTTCGAGACAAGCATCAAACATAAGATTACGAGCAATGAAGTAAATCAAAGAGAACATGCACGGAAATGCGAAGCACCTAAAGATCGCCACCAGAAAACCAGAAGAACTGATGATTCCTATGAAACTAAGATTCATGGAGTTTCAAAGTATTGATCTTTATGGTTTCTGGAAATTTATTTCAAGACCCCTCATCTCCCGCCAAAAAACCCCGTCTCATTCAAAAGAATGGCCACTTTCAATTCAACCACCGCAAAAAAGCCAGAACTATTCGATCCATCGTCCACAGCCAGACAAGATCATGCTTTATCTCACAATCTCAGAAAAAAAATATCTGTTTTTCCCCAATTTCATGAAGCACGAGCACCGCGATGAAGGGGGGAAAACTTCAACGCCGTTGGCGGTGCAAGAAAGATAGTGAATGTGTATACCATGCTTATTGGCGGTGCAATCTCAACGCCGTTGGCTTCTCTCCGGCTGAGTTCCGCCGCCGTACTAACCCTCGCCGGAAAACGTCAGTCGCTGAGCTAACTCGATCACCGTTCACACAGGAGTATAAAGAAAAAGCGGTGCAATCTCAACGCCGTTGGCTTCTCTCCGGCTGAGTTCCGCCGCCGTACTAACCCTCGCCGGAAAACGTCAGTCGCTGAGCTAACTCGATCACCGTTCCCGATCTCGAGTCCCAAGGCTTACACCCCCGCCGCATCGCCGAGAGAACTGAACCTGGACCAGCTGAACTCGGTATTCGTCTCCGCGAGTTTCCGCCGCGGAATCCGGCGAAGATCGCGGCGCAGATGGAGTACACGGACGCGGCGGCCGGTTGGCATCCGCTCGGTCCACCGGCGATGGAGTGTTCAACGCGGTGGTGGAAAGCGATCTGCAAAATCGCACTCCAATCGGAGCAGCGGGTTCTAGGGTTTTACCGTCCGCAAAGGGTTCGTCGTCGTCCGATGAATGTTTTATTCGCGGCGTAAACGGAAGAAGAAATAAAAATCGAAGCATTGATGGAAAAACTTTCAAAGATTTCAATTTCTGATCACATAAGACCATAGATAATACATTTCTCTAGAGTTCTTCAGCTTACAAATGGTAGATTATCGGGCGGGGTTTTAGAAAAAAGTCGAAATTGACGACGGACATAGTCCTCCGGCGAGGGTTTTGCGGCAGAGAGAATCAAGAAACGTCTTTGGAGTGGTGGAGGAAGGCGGCGGAGCAGAGGATGGAGGCGATGAAAGTGAAGAATCCTAATCCGATCATCAGAGAAAATCCGGCGACCATCAGATCCGTCGCCGCCTGCAAACTTATCCCCATCAACAGCATCTTCTTCTTCTTCGATTGCTTCTACTCTATGGTGAGGAAAGTTTCTGAAGATTCCGGTTTTGATGATGAAAGGTGAAGAACTGAAACAGAAACTAAAACTCTAAAGAAGAAGAAGAAGAGGCAAATAGTCTGAAATGCATGTATCTGATTTATATTCATTAACGCATTGTTTGACTAGGATGATACATAATTACCTGATGATTTACACATTACTAAATGTTTGAGCTTTACAATATCAATGCCCCTACTCTTGTCTCTTCAAGTGTTGTCTGGTTATATCAAGTAACTGGTTCATAGGGAAGCTTGTCTTCCTGTCCATGATTGGAGGAAACCTTTTCATTCTTTTGCTGGGGAAGATGTGTGAAGCTGAAGAAGTTGGCAATGGAGGATTTATGATCGGCCTCGGTCTGATTTCTTTTATCTCAACCACCACAGCTTCCGATGTCAGAAACGTTTTAGCCACAGATGCTGCATGTTCCAGGCAACATCTCACAACCTGTTCCAGAACCGAACACATCGGTACAAGGAGCAGAACTCGAATCAGAGAGAGTGAACTACGCGGGAATTTAATCAGTTATACCTTTGTTGGATCCATAATTCGAGCCAACATCAGATCTTCATAGACATTCTTCGCTGCGTTGTACCCATACGTCACGTTTTCACTAGCCAATACCTGCAGATTTGATCGTGTTCTTGATGTACTGAGCTCAAACTTTGACTAGAATGATACAAAAACCGAATGGATTTATCAGATAAATATATACCTTTTCAACAACGATATTGCCATTCGCGCCTGCATTCTTGGCTATCAATCTTATCGGGTAGCTTAATGCTTTCTTGAAGATCTCGGCTCCAATCTGCTTATACAATGTTGCAAAAGCGAGACCACATTCTAAGTATTGTTCAGTTAGAACAGTTAAGCTTTCATTAACTGTAATGTCCTCTGCAACATTAAACTATACCTTCTGTTCTGTGTTTTCAAGAATGTCCTTGATTCTGTCCACCTTTGATGACAACCGAAGAAGAGCACAGCCACCGCCAACCACAACTCCCTCTTCAATTGCTGACTACATTCTGAGAATTAGGTTTCTAGAACAAACAATTAGCCGATAATGGAGATGTCGGCTTTTACAGGACTTTGGTTTGGTTGACTACCTTGGTTGCATTCAGGGCATCTTCAATCTTTAGCTGTTTATCCTTCAACTCAACTTGAGTTTGGGCACCAACCTGTGGTTAAGGCCTTTTGAAATTAGTTCAGCATTGCATTGTCTTTGATTTCAGTATCAATGTATTCACTGTATATAATATTGGGGTTTTACCCGGATTATAGCAATTCCACCCGCCAATCTAGCTACTCTTTCATTGAGGATATTCTTCTGAAAATTTCCCTCGGTATTCTGCATAGCAAGTCAACATAACCCATATGATGAAAACAGCAAAGAATCGAACTTCAGGCTCAATCTAGCCAAGCTAACTCCGAGTTTCATCCCCTCTTATAAACACCTATGACTTGAGCTCAATAATTGAAGTCAAATGGCATGGATGATAGAACCTCGATTAGCTTTTTAATCTGGCAAACCCTTTCCTCAACTGCTCCCCTGTTGCTCCCATCTGTAACGATCAGTGTTGAATCCTTAGTCACTAGAATCCTTGTTGCTGTTCCTAATACCTCCTTTCCAGCCTTCTCTAAGCTCATCCCCATCTCGTCTCTGATCACAGTGGCTATACACAGGAGTATAAAGAAAAAACATCAACGCAAGCTTTTCACTAATGAAAGAATTTTGTATGAGGCAATTTATCTACTACCTCCAGTTAAGATTGCTAGATCGTCCAAGCAGTGGCTCTTACGCTCACCAAAGGCAGGAGCTTTGATAGCTGCTGCCTTGAGGTTGCCTTTAAGTTTGTTCCTGATTACTGGAGCAAGAGCCTCTTGCTCGATGTCCTCAGCAACAATCAGAACCGGGAAATCCTCTTTAACTGCAGAATCCAATATTTTGAACATCTCCTTTGGGTTTGTGATCTTTCTGTCGACCAGAAGCAACTACAATGAAAGAAATTTATCCACTCACCCTGGTTACTCTTTGTCCAACACAGCAAAGAAAATCAGAAAATCTCGATACAGACCTTGCAGTCATGGAACTCGGCTTCCATCTTTCTACGATCGGTGACAAAATAAGGGGATAAAAACCCACGATTGAACTGCATTCCCTCAACAATCTGAAGACTGTTCTCGAGGCATTTTCCTTTCTCGATTGTTACTAAACCAGTCCTCCCCACTTTTCGAAGAGCATCTGCAATCATGTTTCCCACCTCATAGTCATTCCCCGCACTAACTGCTGCAACATCAGCAAGCTCGTTATCCTCGACCTGCAAAGACAGGGTCCATTATTTCCCTTTGGTTAAACCCATTCCACATGTGTATACGCTCACAAATCCTCCAAGAAACGGGATCTTTCACCTCTCTGGACATTGATTTGAGCTCTGAAACAAGGGCATTTGCTGTTTTTTCTATGCCACGGGTAACTTGGACAGGATTTGTTCCAGCTGAAACCACCTGCAGAGAAAGTTTGGAGAATGCATTGACAAACCAGTATATCACACGGTAACATACACAAGTTCAAACTTTGTAACTATAATCTCTACCTTGATTCCCTCGGTAATAAGCCCGTGAGCAAGCACTATAGACGTCGTGGAACCATCACCGGCAAGGTCATTTGTCTTAGCACCCGCTTGCCTCACAAGTTTCACTCCAACATTCTCCAAAGGATCCTCCAATTCAATCTTCACCGCACAAATCAATCCATCATTACAACCACAGCTCCATTCCAGAATCAAATATTATACAAACTAAATATGCCCAGAAGGAGATACTGAAAAACTGGTTTTGGCATTTCATCGAACATCAGATTGAGAGCCATGTGGAACTCTAAAAGTCGCATTTCCAGCCAAAATTAGCAGAATCTTTTCAATTGAAAGAGAATTTTGATTAAACAAGACACAAAAAATACACGGAAATACTATGAGGAAAGTACGTACCTCTTTGAGAACCGTTTCACCGTCATTGACGATTCTCGGAGTTCCGTACTTGTTCTGCAACACTACGTTTCTTCCCTTTGGACCCAAAGTCACTCCCAATAGCTCCGCCACCATATCCGCACCTGCCTGCACCAAATTTCACCACCATACCCGAATCAAAGCGCCATAAAAGGGACCCAAATAAAAAAAAACCCCCAATCCCGCCCCTGCCTGCCCCAAATTTCACCCCCATACCCGAATCAAAGCGCCATAAAAGGGACCCAAATAAAAAAAAAAAAAAACAGAGAGAAAAGATTACCTGAAGTTTCTTGGTCACAGAGCCATCGCGGTTAAAGTGAACCTCTTTCGCGACGGCGAGTGGTTTTAGAACAGAATTCGAAGACGAAGAAGACGAAAAAGAAGAGGGCTTCTTGCGAATCACAGGATTTGTGAGAGGAAATGCAGATAATGCAGCTTGTGAAGAAGCCATTGAAGAAAGTATCATGGAGCCTTTGGCCCTTTGTGCGATATAGAGGAGGAAAAATATCATAGTCAATTTTTGGCGCTGTCCGTCCGAAACTGCGTTGGATAGACCGTTACTTGTCGGATTCTATTGGGCCGAGCCCAACAAAAAAAGCCTACATTATTTTTTTTGGAAAATAAAAATATATATATGAATTTATCAATTTTCATAAAAACAAAATCTAAAATTTAATTTTTACTAAATAAAATCTCAATTTGATTTTTTAATTAAAATAACCTAAAGTTTATAACATTTAAATCCGAATACTGACGGATGTTCTAATATTTTATATATCAAGTCCACATTTTGATCATATCTTACACATCATTATTATCTATATATAATTTACTTTTTATTTTACTTTTATTATATCAATACATTTGGATTCAAAAAATAACAACGGTTATAAAATTTAGTTTTATTTTAAAAATAAAATTGGAGTTTTATTTGATAAAAACAAAGTTAAGATTTAAATTAACAAGTTTAGGTATTTTTTTAAATTTTTCTTTTTTTTAATAAACGAAATATATAGTTTTCTATTTGTGCAACATTAATTAATTAATAAATCTATATCTTCTGGTCTAGGGTCAAACGAAATTGAGAAATGGAATGCTTTGAACATTAGTACCCGTAAATCGATTAGCAAGAATTGTTTTTAGTCTAGCTTTATTATATAGCCCATAAGAGAGAGAAAAAATAATACTTTAAAACAGTAGCGATAAAATCTTTTTGAAATTATATATTGTATACGATGACGAGATATACCCCAAAGCATAATGAAGGCAAAAATTTTAGTGGCTTGAAACTCAGCTAGCTAATGTCAACATGAATTATTACATTATAATAGTTTCTTGTGACAGACGTTAGGTTTTTGATTTTTTTTTGGTAGGCCTTAAGATACTCTTTGTACGCTGTTAATCACTAATTAGTATATATATACGTTTATCTTTGCAAGACAATGTATCATTGTACGGTAGTTCAATCGGTGAAACGGAGTGAAAAACATTTGTCATGTCCCGAATTCGAACCTCATATTTGGAGAGATAATGTATATTACAAATAATCTGGCTGATTTTTTATCATGAAATTAGTCTGGATCTTAGCATAAGATATCCGATTACCCAAAAAGATATATCATTGTCACATTCGATTACATCAATCTAATATAAAATTCGCATAATATCGTTTTTTGTTATAATATATATATATATATATATATATATATATATATATATATTGATATTGATACAATGACTCATATTGTTTTACAAAACACTTGGAATACACCAAACTCAATATAACTACAAAATATTTAATATAGAGCAGAAAAATTAGGACAATTCAGTATTGAGACATATATTAGGACAATAGGGTTTCATTTTCTCGTACAAAGATATCGTTCTCCATCACCCCGAACTGCGGTACTTGCTTTGAAAACCGAGCACCTTAGTTACACATCCACAATACTTTATTAGTATTTCTTATATATAATATATATCCAAAATTATTCCTTATGATCGTAATTCCTTCTTCGTTAATTAACCCAAAAAAGAAAAAAGAAAAAAAAAAGAAACCCTAAGGATCGAGAAGTTGTGGTGGATCAAATGGTCCAGATATCATCACCGTCGACGAAGAACCCATCGAGCTGAATATCACCGATCATCTTCATGGACATGGACGTTTCTTCACGGAGCTTCGCGTTCTCTTCGACGACCCTCTCGTAGCTCTCCATGATTCGGTTCATCTCCTCCATCAGGCACTTGTTCTCGTTCACCAGCTCCATCAAAGTCGACCACAGCTCGTCCATGTGCCGTCGTTTCCTCATCCTCGATCTCCGAGCCGATTCTCTGTTCGATATCATCCTCCGCCGTTTTCTCTCCTCCTCCGCCGTGCTCCGGGAAGACCCCTCCGAAGACGGAGAGTTTCCACCGCCGGAGCTCTTGTCTTGGAAGTAAGGAAGTGAGTTAGGGTTAAAGATTAAACCCTCCATTTGTCTGCGCTTAATTTCGAGATAATTACTTGAAAAGTGTGTGTGTGTGTGTATGGGGGGACGAGAGGGGCGTGTATCCCCACCTTTTTATAGGAGGAGAAATGGAGAACAAAGGAATAAGTAATTAGTAAAATAAAAAAAATAAAAAAAAAATAAAAAATTATATTACGTATGGTTTCAAAACATTGATTCTTTATGTTCGATTCGAATTATAGTCACCGCACAAACCCGATTATCTTGTTTTTTTTTTAAAATTTATTTATGCAACCCTTGACAGTGACATATCGTCCGAGGAGGAAAAAAAACACATAATTATTTATTTTCGATGGTTCTCATTACAAGATGGAGATTTAAAGTGTAACATTGTAGCTGGATTGCGAAAAAAGATCGGTTTAACTCATGATGGACCGTTTTGTTGGGTAAAAAGAAGATTCTTTGCTACATATGGTTAAGAATCTTTCATATCATCAGGATCTAGTTTTCGATTTTACTTTTTTATAAGTATCAAGTTCACCGGACCTTCGATCCGACTACATCGCTCACAGTCCGAAGATAACCCGTGTAACCGCAATTTAATTGTGTACCCATTTTTCTGTATAGGAGTCAAACCAACCACCTTGAATGCTTAACGGTCGCTTTGTGACCTGATCACTTCAAACGTCTCGGTCTATGTGAATCATGTGGCTCCAAATTCAATGTCAGATAATTGCTAGTGGCTGAGTTTTTTTATTTGGAAAATTTACAGCCATACTTCGTAGCTTGGTTGGTGGCCTTAAGTCTCGACCACAACTTCCTCTACTCCTTCAGCCTAAATAAGCATTTCATCTGCTTGTTAATGCATCACCAACATCTACTCCTTCAGCCTAAATAAGCATATCATATGCTTGTTAATGCATCACCAACGAGAAGATACATTCAGAGGAAGAAGAAAAATATTAAGAGTGTGAAGAAGCTTTTTTCTTCAAGAAGAAATCCGATTTTCGGTCTCTTTTGAGAGTTTTTTTTTTCTGGGATTCTCTTTTGGATATCTAAGATATTTGTTCGGTGAGATTCTTGAATACATCTGGGATATTTTTTCTTCAGAGTGTTAAGAGAGAACTGGGATTTGGAAAGTGAGGTTGAGTGTGTGTTGTATTCTACATTTGTTCACCAATGTAGTGAAATTTGTGTTTTTCCTCTCCGTGGACGTAGGCATTCTGCCGGCCATGTTAAATATTGGGGTCTTTTATTTTTCTGTCGTTTGATTCCATCGTCTCACATTAGAGACCTGATACGCTTCCACACAACAATTGGTATCAGAATCGCGGTACTTTTTTTGTCAAGACATATGTCGATTTGAAAAATAAAAAAAAAGTGATTTAGAGTTATGGCTCAAGAGACCACCAAAACACTGGCGGTAGTTGCAATTCCATCAATTGGCTCATCATACCGTCCGATCCTCGGCGTCATCGGGAAGAATGGTGGTAACAAATGCAAAAATTGAGGTGGAGAAATTCAGCGGGTCCAATAACTTCAGTTTGTGGTAAGGCGAGATGACAGATGCGCTTTATTAGCAAGAACTTCTCGTTGCTATTGATCCGCAGAAGCCGACACGCCTGGAGGATGCCAAATGGGTATGGATGAACCACAATATTGGTATAGTAATCCGTTCGTGTTTAACAAGGAAACTAAAACTCCCTTATATGAAGGAGATATCTGCAAACAAATTTTGGAGAGAGTTGGAGAAGCAGTTCTTGACAAAGAGTTATCAGAACCGATTGTACTTTAAGAAGAAGTTGTTCCGTCTGCAGTACCAATCGGGTTCTATAATGTACCACATTTCCGAATTCAACAAGATGGTGATGGAGTTGGAGAACCTTGATGAAATGGTCAAGGATGAGGATAAGACTCTTCTCCTTTTGAATTCTCTACCCGAAGAATACAAGAACCTTATCACTATGATACTTCATGGAAATGAGCAGATCCGTTTCGATGAAGTATGTACAACTTTGTACAATTGTGAGATCCGAAAAAAGGATCAGAAGTAAAATAGTTAAACTTCAGTAGGGAGGCCTATGCTGCTCGAGGTCGTGAAGGAGCTCGTAAGCCTGGAAAGAAGAAAGGTAGATCTCGCTCAAAAGGCAGACTTGCAAAGGATGAATGTGCCTTTCGTCATGAAATTGGACACTGGAAGAAACATTGTCCAAAGCTGAAGATGATGAATCAGAGTTCGTATTGATCAGTACATCGTCAAAGTTTCACTCCGACGAGTGGATTATGGACTCGGGTTGTACCTACATACATGTTACAATAAGGAGTTGTTCTTCAACTTTAAAGAACTAAATGTATGAGTTGTTTACATGGGCAATAATGACGCTCTACAAGCAACTGGAATAAGTTCAATCCGACTGAGGTGCCATGATGGAACTACAAGAATTCTGACGAAAGTTCGGTACGTACCACATTTGGAGAAGAATTTCATCTCACTGGGAACCTTAGAATCTAAAGATTATACTATGACTATTCGAGATGGAATTCTTAAAGTTATTTATGATGCACTGGTGGTCTTGAAAGGAGTAAAGAACAATAACATGTACTATTTCAAAGGTAGTACGGTTATTGGAACGATTGTCATTACCGTTGGAGAAGATAAGGATTCTGATGCCACCATGTTATGGCACATGCACCTAGGATATCCTAGAGAGAAGGTTTTGCAGAACCTCATCAAACAAGGTGTGCTTAAAGGAGCCAAGATGTGCAAATTGGAGTTTTGTGAGCACTGTATACTTGGAAAGCAATCAAAAGTGAAATTTGGCACGACTATCCATAATACCGAAGGTATTCTGGATTATGTCCATTCTGACGTATGGTCGATATTTTGTCACTTTTGTTGACGACTTTTCAAGAAGAGTTTGGGTATACGTGATGAAGACTAAGGTGAAGTGTTGAATTGTTTCCTTAAACAGAAAAATATGGTGGAGAACCAGACTGTGAGAAAGATCAAATGTCTCCGAACAGACAATGGAAGAGAGTACATGAGTGATTCACTAGTCAAAATCTATCAAGATGATGACATTGTTAGACACTTTACCGTTCGAAACAATTCGTAAGAGAATGGGGTGGTAGAACGCATGAATCGAACTTTATTGGAGAAGATTCAGTGTATATTGTCTAACGCTGGATTAGACAAACGATTTTGGGTTAAGGCTGTGATGTATGCGATTCAAGAGTTCTGAAAGTGAGAAGTGGAAGAAGACAAAATGGAGGAAGAGATGGAATATCTTCGGAAGAACAACACCTGGAAGTTAGCGAAGTTACCAAGTGGAAAGAAGGCGATTGGGTGTAAATTGGTATTTACAAAGAAAGAAAGATTTCTCGACAAGATTGATGTCTGTTCAAGGCAAGGTTGGTAGCAAAAGGCTACGCTTTGAAGGAGGGTATCGACTACAATGGGGTATTTTCTCCAGTTGTGAAACATACCTCAATTCGGATTTTGTTGGCCTTGGAAGCTCAGTTTGATTTGGAGCTAACTCAACTCGATGTAAAGCGGCATTCTTACATGGAGATTTGGAGGAGAAAATCTATATGACTCAGCCAAAAGGTTTTACAGTTGCTGGTAAAGAAGATTAGGTTTGCAAGTTGAACAAATCGTTGTACGAACTGAAGTAGTCTCCCAGGCAGTGGTACAAACGATTTGAAAAATTCATGATCTCTTGTCTAAGGAGCAAGTATGATCTTTGTGTCTACTTCTACAAGTTACTAGATGAATCTTTCATTTACTTACTCTTGTATGTAGATGACATGTTGATCGCATCAAAGAGCCAATTGAAGGTCGACAAGTTGAAGGCTCAGTTGAATCAAGAGTTTGAGATGAATGATCTTGGAGAAGCAAAGAAGATTCTTAGGGATGGAGATAAGCAGAAACAGAAAGATGGGCAAGATTTGTTTGTCGCAGAGGCAATCTTTGAAGAAAGTACTTTAATATTTTGGCTTAGATGAAAAGTCAAAACCTGTGAGTACACCGCTTGCCCGTCATTTCAAGCTCAGTTCAGCGTTATCTCCTACCACAAATGAGGAACATGAGTAGATGACGAATGTTCCATATGCAAATGCGGTTGATAACTTGATGTATGCGATGGTGTGTACCAGACCTGACATTTCACCTGCTGTTGGAGTAGTGAGCAAGTATATGCACAATCCTAGAAGAGGACATTGACAGGCAGTGAAACGGATTATGAGGTATATTATGAAGACCTTGGGCTTTGGATTGGTGTTTCAATAGGATGGATCACTTGGTCACTGTGTGGTTGGATATGCTGATTCTGACTATGCCGGCGATTTGGATAAGCGTTGGTCAACAACTGGATATGTGTTTACATTGGCGAAAGCTCCGGTGAATTGAAAGTCTACCTTACAGTCTACGGTGGCTTTGTCTACGACAGAGACAGAGTATATGACAGTTGGAGAGGCTGCGAAAGAAGCTATTTGGTTGCGTGGTTTACTTGATGAGCTTGGAGTTGAACAGGAAAACATTATCATAGAATTCATGAAGGTGAAGACTCTTGATAATCCCGCAGATATGCTGACTAAGGTGATCACAGCGATTAAGTTCAATCATTATTTGAACTTGGTCAACATCCTGTGCATTTGAACGCCTTCGGGCATATGAGTGCCATGAGGCACAGTTGAAGACATCTTTTCTCGTTTGTTACAGTTGGTGTTCATTGGAGCCAAGGTGGAGATTGTGAATCATGTGGCTCCAAGTTCAATGGCAGATAATTGCTAGTGGCTGAGTTTTTTATTTGAAAAATTTACAGTCATACTTCGCGATTTGGTTAGTAGCCTTAAGTCTCGACCATAATTTCATCTGCTCCTTCAGCCTATAAATAGGCATATCATCCGCTTGTTAATGCATCACCAACGAGAAGAAACATTCAGAGGAAGAAGAAAAATATTAAGTGTGAAGGAGCTTTCTTCTTCAAGAAGAAATCCGGTTTTGGGTCTCTTTTGAGAGTTTTTTTTGTGGGTTTCTCTTCAGTAAGATTCTTGGATATATTCGGGATATTTT